AGAAAAAAAACAAAACAGTTTTCTCCTCTTTGTGAAATAGATCTCAGCCAATAGGGAGCCAGATGTGCTGTGAGGTCATAGCCACTCTCTCCTCATGACCCAAATGTGGATACATCTGGAATCGGATCAAAATCTGAGACTTTTTTGGGGTTTTACGTAGCAGAAACAAGAAAAAAAGTGTTCTCCTCTTTGTGAAATATCAGCCAATAGGGAGCCAGATGGGCTGTGATGTCACTGCCAGCCTCTCCTCATGACCCAAATGTGGATAAATCTGGAATCAGATCAAAATCTGAGACTTTTTTTTCGTTTTACGTAGCAGAAACAAGAAAAAAAGTGTTCTCCTCTTTGTGAAATCTCAGCCAATAGGGAGCCAGATGGGCTGTGATGTCACTGCCAGCCTCTCCTCATGACCCAAATGTGGATAAATCTGGAATCTGGATCAAAATCTGAGACTTTTTTGGTTTTACGTAGCAGAAACCATTAAAAAAAAACAGTTTTTTCCTCTTTGTTAAATAAGTCCCAGCCAGATGTGCTGTGATGTCACAGCCAGCCACTTCATGACCCAAATCTGTCATTAGATCAAACTGAGACCCAATTTTTTTATTTTTAATCTTTCTTTTTATTGTTTCTGTTTATTGTTTTAAATTAAAAATACACATATGGGAGGAATAAAAGGGAAAAAGGGATTCGAGCTAATATTAGCATGAAGGGAAACAGAGTCTCTACAGAATGCTCCCATGTTAGTGTCCCTATACTTGTCCCAGTTTTTTCACAGCCAGCATCTCTTCCTGACCCAAATCTGCAAATATCTGGAATTATATCAAACCTTTAAACTCATTGTTTTTGTTTTTACATTTTACCATCAAAGCAAGCATAAGATTTTACTTTAACCTAACTATTTTTTGCCTTAAAAACATAGAAAAAACAGCAACTCTGAACCATTGGACGGTCTCAGGAAACAGAAGTTTGATACTCACTGAGGTGGAATTTTTTTTAAATGATTGTTATTGTTTTTTAATTAGATGAAAAACTGTGAGGTTTGGTGAACAAAGTCCTCTCAAAAAAGAGGTCAAATCCCCCAGATTTGAGTGATATTCGATACTATATTTCAGGCTGAGGTCGATTTCAAACAGGAAACTGGGCTAACGTCTTTAAAAATGTGTGATGGTGCTAAAGGGTTAAATGTGGCCATTCATTTAAAAGTCCAGTTTCAAGGGTTTGGTGCTGTTTTGGGGTTCTAGTTTTGGCCTCTCTGGGTGTGTAACGTTCGCCCTCTTGTGCAGACGTCCTGGTGGAGGAGAGCCCCGCCCCCTGCCAGATCCTGCACCTCCTGGAGGAGGGTGGCCCCCGACCTCTGACCTTTGTCCTCAACGCCAACCTGCTGGTCAACGTCAAACTGGTGACCTGTGAGTAGATCCGCCGGTCGGTCACCATCGGTCTGACTGTGTCTGTCTGTCTGTCTGTGTCTGACTGTACCTGTCTGTCTGTCTGTCTGACTGTCTGTATCTGACTGACTATATCTGACTGTACCTGTCTGTCTGACTGTATCTTTCTGACTGTACCTGTCTGTCTAACTGTCTGACTGTATGACTGTATCTGTCTGACTGTGTCTGTCGGTCTGTCTGACTGTGTCTGTTGGTCTGTCTGACTGTACCTGTCGGTCTGTATCTGTCTGATTATATCTGTCTGTCTGATTATATCTGTCTGTCTGACTGTATCTGTCTTTCTGTAGCTATCTGTCTGTCTGCCTGTACCTGTCTGTCTGCCTGTACCCATCTGTCTGACTGTACCTGTCTGCCTGTACCCACCTGTCTGACTGTACCTGTCTGTCTGCCTGTACCTATCTACCTGTACCCGTCTGTCTGACTGTACCTGTCTGACTGTACCTGTCTGCCTGACTGTACCTGTCTGGATCTGTTTGACTGTACCTGTCTGTACCTGTCTGCCTGTCCCCGTCTGCCTGACTGTATCTGTCTGCCTGTCCCTGTCTGACTGTATATATCTGACTGTACCTGTCTGACTGACTGTATCTGACTGTACCCGTCTGTCTGACTGTACCTGTCTGTCTGTCTGTCCCCGTCTGCCTGTACCTGTCTGCCTGTATTTATCTGCCTGTCCCCGTCTGTCTGACTGTATCTGATTGTACCTGTCTGCCTGTATCTGTTTGTCTGACTGTACCTGTCTGTCTGCCTGTATCTATCTGCCTGTCCCCGTGTGTCTGCCTGTATCTGCCTGTACCTGTCTGACTGTATATATCTGATTGTACCTGTCTGCCTGTACCTGTCTGTCTGCCTGTACCTGTCTGCCTGTATCTGTCTGACTGTATATATCTGCCTGTACCTGTCTGCCTGTACCCGTCTGTCTGACTGCCTGTATCTGCCTGTGCCTGTCTGACTGTATATATCTGCCTGTATATATCTGTCTGTCTGCCTGTACCTGTCCGACTGTATATATCTGTCTGACTGTACCTGTCTGCGCGTCCCCGTCTGTCTGACTGTATATATCTGACTGTATATATCTGCCTGTATATATCTGTCTGTCTGCCTGTACCTGTCTGACTGTATATATCTGTCTGACTGTACCTGTCTGCGCGTCCCCGTCTG